TGGTAAAATGAGAAAATATGTAAAACTGAATAATACCTATGTTGTGAAATTAATTGAGACATCTATCGCAAAACACTATATACAATTGTGATCATTCTTGATTATCATAGTGATAACTTTGACACTTTGATTTTCTAAAGTGATAATTTTGATTTTCTATATTGATAACTTTAATTTGAAAATTTTGATTTACTGTAGTGATAACTCATAAAACTTAGATTAACTATATTGATAATTATTACACTATAGTGATCACTATGAACTATAGTGATAACTTTGAAACTATGATTTACTATAGTTAACTATAGTATTTTTTGTTCGGGTTACAGATCAGGATGATCTCGTCTGCATAACCTTTTGAAGTAAATACACAACTCGATAGATAAAAAGTCACATTCAACAACAACTATGAGAGATCCTACATTTAGTAATCTTGACGCATTTTAATATAGAAAATGACTAGAAAAAAAGTTTTTATTTAACGTTCAAGATTTTATAAAGTAGGTTTATAGTGGGTCTAAAGCCCACAATGGATAGTTTAAAATGCACGATTATAGTCTACTAGGTATACAAATATAATACACATGATTTTAGAACGATCTTTATTGAATAGCATAACAATGTTATACAATGCAAATAAAAGTAGTCATTCTTTATAAGAACTAAGGACCATGTCGACTATAAATTTTCAGTATCCAAAATATAATTATCATGCTAAAGAGAAACCAAAATACTGATCCTTGCGAAAGCAAATGATATCCAGTGGGAAAATGTTTATCTAATGATATAACAAGATTTTACAAGATTTTTTATGTCTTTTTTATCAGTTTTTTTCATCAAATCTTGTGTTTATGAAGTCGCAGCGTAGTGCGTAGTAGATTACATGCCATTTTAAGTGTTTTTAAATGTTTAGGGAAACTGGTGACAGTTATCAGATAAAAATTTTAATATACAGTCATCTGTATGGCTCTTATAAGAAAGTCACTTTGTAGAACAGTATTAACTTCCTTCTTCCAAAATCTAAAATATAATTCTTAGTTTTGTTGATGAGAAATAATTAGCTTACCCCTTTTTTTCAGTGTATATCGTTTTCTTCCTTTTTAGATCACAGAATTGATGCAAAAAAAGGATATATTTATACCCTATATTCACTTAGTTACTGTAAGGAAAAAAATAAATTCCAACATATAAAATTTGGGCCTCATAGATCTTAAGAATTAGATATATCAAAAAATTTACTACATTTTAAGCATTTCAAATGTAAAAAATAGTTATTGATCACATAGTACGAAATATTACTCTAAACATTTTCTGTAGCTTGAGTTGTTAATGGTCTTTGTACGAATTACAAATGTTCATTGTTTCAAAGTGTGACATTTTAATAATCAATATACTCTATGTACAACTCAAACCTAACTCTCGTACGCTGTATGAAATGAGTAGTGACTGAATGAAAGATAAAAACAATATCATACAGTGTACTGTAAGAGTACCAACAAAACGTTTATTCAGTGTTCGGGCGGTAAGAGTAATAACTATATAAAGATTTAGAATGTTTTCAAGAAAAGCTTTCATACTTTTTTTTTTTTCAAACGTAAACCTATTTATAAAACAGTATTTTAGAATTTGTTAAGTTAATCTTTATAATTCATATATAAAATGAAGCAAAATAATGTGATTAATGCAAAGATTAAGGGAAAAAAAACGAATGTAGAATTAAAGAACAATTATCAAGCTGTATCTATTTAGGAAACTTTGAAAAATGAAAGATGAACAATGAAAAAGTAGGCTTAATCAAGATATGGAGAAACAAATTGAAGTATATATATGAATCTATTTTGAAGTTCATTTTGTAAACTTTTAATGAAACAGACAATATTTACATTACACAAGTATTTTGCATATAAAGTGTGTGAAAAGCTATGGCATTCAAAACACCATAATACCATAATACGGACAGTGGGTCAATTGGTTAGAGTATACATTTTATTTTGAAGTCACAAATTATGAACGCTGTAGAAGTGCATCGTCATAAGCAAAATTCAAAATTCACGCTCACATGGAACAGGAATGAGTAAAAAATTCTCGAGAGGGACGTTAAACAACAAACAAAGAAACAAACAAACGTTATTATTCTGAACCAAAAATGCGGGAGGGTGACTCAAAAATTGGGAAATTGTCCCAGATACCCCTTGTGAATACTAATTATTAGGCTATTATTTACATATTGAATTATCTACAGATTTTTTCGTTATTTCCCGGTCATGACAAAGAGCAAACATCGGCAGGGAATGATCACTCCTCAACTGCCCCTGATCCCACGTCCCTCTGATGTTCTAGATGTCCGTGTATGGTCTGCTTCTGATTTGCATTGTTGGAATGGCATTCGAGCTTGAATATTGTTCGTCATCTCCATACATTTCATGATTTTTTTTCTCTCTGGAATCTACGTGGTCTTTCTATCAACAAGTATCAGCAAGTATTTTTTAAATTATTTTTTAAACAATATATGATTGATTGATTGACTGTATGTTGTTTAACGTCCCTCTCGAGAATTTTTCACTCATATGGAGACGCAACCAATTGCCGGTGGAGAGCTGCAAATTTTGTCCTATACTCGGCACTTACGGCCATTGAGCAGGGAGGGATCTTTTTCGTGCCAGCACCTACTGCGACACGGGACCTCGGTTTATACGGTCTCATCCGAAGGACCGGTCTCCACGTCCCACAGTGGGATTCGAACCCGCGACGTAAGGATTTTAGGCAATATAATTGTGTTGTTAATGATAAATCTTTTTATCCTCTCCCAAAGGAGTGGGAGGAGATAAAGTAACTCGCTTGTGTTCGTAGGTAGGTGGGTTAGTTTGTCCTTGTGTGCGTAGCGGATGTGAGTTAATTTACTTCTGGATAGATGTAGAATGCTGCCTTGATTTATAGATATGCTCTTTTGCGATGGGATGTTCCGCTTTGTGGTGTCCTTGTTTTCTTTGACATGCACAATAGAGAATAACTATGTCTGAACAAAAACATCTGCAGGATGGTATGTTTCTACTAGCAGTAATAATATTTATAAAAATAGTATTTAGCTGTATGATAAAAATAATAATAAAAAAAACAAGCACTTGGAATTACTCTGATATGACTGAATGTGATTTAATTTTCTACCATTTTTTTCTTCTTGTAACTTATAAGAATTCTTTCAACCTCAATACAAATTATTTCAAGCAATATATATAAAATATTTCAATAATGTCTTCTATCGAGCGTATATATTTTAATATTATTGCCATCTATAAATATGTATTCTTGATGACAATATAAACGTTGCGCAAGCTAATTAGTAAGAATCAATTACAAATAAAGGAGTATTAATCAATCAAAGGCGTCCAATATGTATTAAACAGATCCATAATTTGCTAAAGGGAATAATTAGACATCTCTGCACCCCTTGGAGTCACCTAACATTGTGCATATATGGATGTTTGTCAAGTGATTGCGTATTTAACATTATAGAAAATGATTGGAGGAAGTAAAAAAAAAATAAATAGCAAATTTCCTTCTGCTCTTGACAAAAACAGGAAAATATATTTTAAATAATTTTGGAAAAGTTGTTACTCACATTTTTAAAAATGCAGAAATTGGCCTTATTAAGGTAACTATGAATGCTATATTTACAATTTAATTTGTCAACTGAAATATTCAGGTACATGATTTACAAAAAAAAAATCTTTAATGAATTGCACAAACATTTTTAATTGCAAAGAGATTTAAAGAATCATTTATTTTTCTAAAAAGAACTATAGGCCTAATTTTGCAGCATCAAATAAAAATACCCATTTTAAAGAAACAAAATAATACCAATTCTTTTGAGATGAAACAAAATCCAGTAGACAAGCTTTTTTTAATGACATGACAACATTTGGCAAAGTTGTTTTTTTTTTTTTTTTTTTTTTTTTTTTAATCATCAAAGGGATCACTTTTGCGGTTTAGAAATTATAGGAACCTAGTCGATTACACGTCATTATAAGTGATGTTCTTTTTTTTCTCTCAAGTGTTTCGGAAAACTGTAGAGAGATACCAGATAAAATTTGAAGTGTACTGTTCTGGTATGACCCTTTAAAAATGTTTCACTAAGTAGAACAGTGTTGACTTCCTACTTCCGAAACTTAACAGTATAAATTCTGGTCACGCTGATAAAAAGAAAATTGCTATAATACTCTATTTTTAGTGTACAAATTGTATATTGTCCTATTTCGTATATTTGCGTTTTTTTACATGGAGTGATGCAAAAGAGTAAATAGAAAGATATATTTACATTCATTTTACATTAAAGGTAATTATTTGAAAAAAAGGTCAAATTCCAACATGATGTACGTAGGCTAATCCAAATGTAATAAATTTAATCATCCGTTTAATACATGTATTTTAATTGAGTACTTGTTAAACTATAGAGTGTAAAAATATATCTCTTTCTATAATCTTTTCTCTTATAATTGGTGCATGGCTCTACTCTACTGACGACAAATTCCACTTAATTGCACGTGGTATTACACCGATGCCTGGATGGGTGTTCTTGAATGGGATTTTAAATTGAGCATACCTGTACATTGTATCCACCAAAGCATAATTGTTAACTCTTCACCTAATCAACCATTCAATATGAAGTAAAGAACCATGCAACAAACGCACTCTTTGTCAAGCAGTGTAACAACCCTTGTATACTTACAGCACAAATAACTTAACAAACAGATAATAATTGTATATAATAATATGGAAAAGGAAAAACCAATTCAGTAAAAACCACTGATATAACCAATTGTCTTTCCTCTGATCACCTAAGAAGGACAAATACATGCTAAACTGTCAAAGATATCAATATAGAGAATTGCAACTCTCTTCGTTTCTTATTTTTCATGATGAAAGGGTTAATAGATATAGACCAAATCTAATATTTGCTCAAACCCTTTTCAAAACCTTCATTAACAATCGTTTTCAGTTTTTCGAAAACAGAAACAGTTTTTAAGACCAAAGTACAAGTACAAATGCTACATTCACTTGAGTAGATCGTAATGTGAGGGTTGACTTAATTGTCCAAGTTCTTGGTAACCTGCATTATCCTCAACTCTGTCATATGTAGTTGTGTTTTGATCTTGTGTTTGATCCTGTTGTTTTTGTACATCCTTTGAGTTCTGTCTTTTATAAATGGTATGTCTGACATTCCTGTAACATAAATACAAAAAAAAAATATGAATTGTAAGTAGCTGTAAACAAAATAAAAAGAATTTTATAGCCAAATTTAAATTTATGATCCAATTTATGCTTTAAACTCCAATTGTAGTCTTAATACAAAAAAAACAAAACAAAAAAAAAACAAAAAAACTCACCGAACAATGAGGAATATGTTGAGAAAAATACTTATAAAGAGAACTGCTGTCACACCGTAAAGCGCTGATGTTGTCAAATTAGAGTTTGAATTTTTCTCTGATGATTGCTTGTTTACTTAAATTAAAAAAAGAAGAAGCATGGAAATAATTAAAAGTGTATCTTTCTTATTTTGACTATGTTAAATTTGACAGAGGATTCTTTTCAGAACACAATGTCGTGAACAATACTTGCTTTAAAGTTACATTTAATTCTAACTTTAATTATTAAATGAAAATTAGAGAAGGAAAAATCTTGAAAAGTATCACTCATCATAACATTGTGCAGGTATGACGTTATTTTTTTTTATTTGCACAAAATATATTTCCCTTACTTTAGTTATTATAAATAATTTTGATTTGATTTATATCTACCATAAAGGAAACCAACAGTCATTTCTATCATACTGATGATGATGAAAATGACTTTCTTCACCTTAAGGTACGTTTCTGTTTCCTTTAATATTTGCATAATATTTCTTCAGCGTGGAATGTGTCTTCTTTTAACTAACTCACTTATTAGATTAGAAATAATGAACAAACAGAATTAATAAAAGTATCCCATATAAATTCCAATGGGAATTCGTAAAGTTATCGATGTATGTTTGTTTATTTCACGTTCCTTTCGAGAAGTTTTCACTCGTATTGCCAATGGAGGCCTAGGGCTGTAAGTATTAGACCTATAATCGGTAATTAGGGTCTTTTAACCGTGAAAGATTTTTTTGTGTGCCAGCACCTTCTGTGACGTAGAACCTCAGTTTATATGGTCTCATCTCAAGGACTCGTCTCTACGTCTCGTAGTTGGATATAAACCTGCAACGTATGGAACAAATCCGCAAATCTAGAGCAAACGCTTTACCACTGCGTCTGTCTGCGCCACGCGGTTGTACATCGGTAAAGGTATTGCAATGTCTACCTAAATATAGGGAGTGCAGGACTGTTGGGTGGAGTGTAACTTTAACTTTCCCGCTGAAGATACTTGTATCTCTTATATTTTGATAAATACAATCAACAGCAAATAAACAAAAAAATCTTAGGAGCAGCCAATGACATTTCATTCTTTCCAGGTGAAACAGAAATGTTTTATATATATATATATATATATATATATATATATATATATATATATATATATATATAGATAGATAGATATATATATATATATATATATATATATATATATATATATATATATATATATATATATATATATATATATATATATATATATATATATAAGTAACCGTTCTATAAATTTAAAATTGATTTTTATATAGGGATTTCCTTTTTTTAAATTTTTAAATTAAAAAAAAAATATGACAAATAATCAATGGTTTATCGATAAGTATCGAAAAGTCGCATTTCTCAACTCGGATATAAACGTAAACTATAAATAAATCAGACTCTAAAACTATAATACATCGTTTACCTGTACATTTTTCACCAATATAGTCGTCTTTGCACCCTCCTTTACATGATCCATTCGATAAACAGGTTCCGTTAAGACAGCCAGTGCTACATTTGTATTCACACAGTTCACCGTAATAGTAAGGACTACAGTCTTATGAAATAAAAAAGAAATGAACAGTTAAGGAAATGCAAAAAAAAAAATTCTTTGTGTAACATAGATATCCGAAATTTATTCTCAAACTGAAACAAAGATAAATGTTCCTCCGATCCAAAACACAAGTGATTAATCAGTTGTTCAAAGGAAAGAAATGAAATGGGAATTGAAACATTTTCATAAATATAGTAAAATGTAAAATGTAAAATGTTTCATTTGACACATCTGCAATCCTTTTCAGTGTGAATTTTGACTTTTATTTTAAATCCAACTTTACTATTTTTTGTGGTTAGTTATAGTGCTGGGTATATGACACACCTCCTGTCTATTCTCACACGAAACATTAATCCCAGTGCTTGTCGGAATAGTTGAAATATACTGAATGCATGAAGGACATAAAACTATTTAATTTTCTAGTATCTCTAAAATGACTTTTAAAACAAACAAAAACCCTCTATTCTTGAACATCTTTACCTTTACACAAGGTCTCTTGCCATCCTATTTTACAGGCACAACTCCCATTATTTCGAGCACAGTTGGAAGTGCACCCTTTTCCACATTTCTTTTGACAAGTGGCTCCAAATTTTCCAGCAACACAATCTTGGCAATTGCCATTGTCTCTACGGCATCCATTTCGGCAGTCAGGGTAACATGTTTTATTGCAAAAAGTTCCATATTTGCCAGCATCACAAGTTCCTTTACAATTGCCGGTATCTCTGTAACATCCTGATTGACACGATGCGCTACATTTCGTGGAACAATCAAATCCATAATGTTTTAAGTCACATTCTACAATTAGGATATCACATTTAAAAGTTTCACTCAATAAAAAAATAACATCAACAGAAGAAGGATAACGAGGTTCTCTATGTATGTCTTCTTTGTAACTTTAAGTTATCAAAGTCATGTAACATTAACATTCATTCGCTTTAATTTAAGTACATGACTTTGTACATTTCAGAAAAGTGCAAGCACCCATGCCATTTCATATATCTTTATATTTAAGCTACTCATAAATGTTCTATGTTTATGAATTAAGTTTCATTACTTAAGGGCAGATGATACGAACTTTTTTCGGAAATCTTAATATTAACAACTTAAGTCTTGATTACATTTGTAAAATAAACAAGTTTAACGGCATACGAATATTTTTATTTTTCATTCAAAGTTTCACAAAAATGGGATTTCAAGTGACAAAAAATTGATACGACTACTAAGGGTGGTTGGAGAAAGGTAGAATGTTAACATAGCAAAGTTTACAATTTCCTAATTTTTTAAACTTTTATTAATCGCATCATTTACAACCGAAAAAAGTCCAATAATATATTCAAATTCAGGCATCTATTTTTTTATGGTATCATATGTCCTTTAGAGAAATAGATGTCATGAGAGCTTGTTAGAAGACCAAGACCCAAGAAATAAATTCCTACCATCACATCTTAATCCTGCCCAGTTTGATTTACATCCTCCAATACAAGTTCCATCAATGCTATTACACCCAGTTTGAGCACAATTTGGACTACATGACGTGCTGCAGAAGGAACCATAATACCCGATCTTGCAACCGTTATTACACTGGCCGGTAATCTGGTCACAACTTCTTGAAACACACTGATCATTGCAGATTTTCCTACATTGAAATCCAAAATTCCCTTCTCTGCAACCAAAGCAATACCCATCACTTTTTCTGCAAGTCAAATTAAGGCAAGTTCCACTACATAGTTTATCACATTTAACACCGAAATATCTTACATCACATACATCACAAGATCCATTGTACATGTTGCAAGAAACAGGGTTGCAAATACCACATATTCTATCACAATTGTTGCCATAATACCCCGCAATACATCCGTTTGTACAGGAGCCTGTCTTATTACACATTTGTCCAGAGCATGTTGGACAAGATGTGTTACATGTATTCCCATAGTATCCCTGCTTGCAAGAAATACAGGTTCCGTTCTTTTTATTGCAGATATTATTAAGACAGTTGATATATTGACATTGGTTTTGACACTTTTCTCCCCAGAATCCCGGATAACAATCATCGTTACAATTACCTTGTGCATCACAGGAACTGTTTAAACAATTAGAGCTGCATTCTATTGAACAATAAAATGAAGAATATAAATTAAAACAATGTCCAAAATAATAAATAATAATAAATAGTATTATATAGTCTATAAATAGTCCCTATACGAGGGTTGTCCCAGAAAAACGTAACATTTTCAATATTTTTTGTTTCACTAATATAATAAAGTTAAAAATTGGCATGCATTAAAATCAACATTTTTTTTTCAATAATTCACAGAAATTTCAGTAAAATAAATCTATAAATAACATCTTTGTCTTTAGTAAGCGAATCATTCAAAACAGCTGCCGGTGTAAAGACGAATAATGAACCCAACAGAATAATGACCGGGGGGCATTTCTTGCCGTCGAATAATGACCGCCGGTCATAATTCAACGGCGAAAACTGACCCCCGGTCATTATTCGACGTCGGAAAATGACCCTTTTTTTAGAAAAGTGTCATCACCACAAAAACCTGCATACTCTACGTGAAGAAATATGACCCCCGTAGAATAATGACACTTTTATATTAAAGTTGAAATTTTTAGGGGGCCAAAAAAAAAAAATCAAGAGACCTGTTGGCCAAAATGTTCACCTGAGATAAATTGGAAATAAATCGATGATATGTTGATCTCATGACATTATACAATTATTGCTGTTTTTAACGTCATTGCGATGATTCAGAATCTTGAGGAGTAAAAGATTTATCGAGCCCAAAGGGCGAGGTGAACATTGTTTTTCGATGGTGGAAGATCATCGTACTGACAGAAAAAACCCAGCAATAATTGTTTTATTATATCAATTCAACAATTAAATTGATAAAGACTGATTAAGCAGACATGTAAAGTTTCTTAATTACATTTGCTCAAGTCGTAGGCAAACACAGTGAAAGAGTTAATATAAGTATAACCAGCATTAATTTTGCATTTGAAATCTATTTTTGGTGCAATGTAGAAAAAATAAATGTCAGGCATAGCATCGAAAGGGGAAATGGGGCATTATAAGAGGCAAAAAAGACAAGTTATCTTAGAAGTATCTCTGATGAACCCCTCGAAAGGTTTATTGATGTAAGGGGATTTCCTTTTACTCTACTGTATCAAAGAGTTGCAGATAGTGCAACCAGACTTGCAATGAACATTTTTAAGCTTAGAAATAAAAAAAAATAGTTCATGAAAATGGAAGGAGGAGGACACCCACCCTTGACTCTATGAGCTTGAATGTTACGTTCACTTTGTCAAGTAGGAGATATTTTTAGCTATACTGTATAAAAATAGGGGATGGTTACAAGACTTTCAATGAACATTTTCAAACTAGAAATTCCTAAAATTTACATTCAGAAAAAGTTGGGGGTTGGGGGGGATCCCTCCCACTTCTACGATTCTTTGTGCCTGAATATTATGTTCACTTGAGTGGAATTCGGATGCAGGTGAAACAACTTTTTAAGAATTGTTTTCAATCTATTTCTAGTGCAATGTAGGAAAAATAAATTCTTATATTCACCTGGAAGGCCAATAAAATGGTCTGACTTCAATGATAAATTGAAAACATTAATCTATTCCAATAAACACTGTATTAAAACGCTTCCATATTGATATATCGCTGTTTTAAAAGTAGATGTATTGAAAAGTTTCCATATTGATGCATCACTGTTTCAAAGTAGATTTAAAAAAAAAAAAAATATTCCTCTTACATGTATGTATCCTATTCTCAGACGACCCTGTTAACAGACTTGAGCGTACAGTATGCTGAGATTTTTCATTAC